GAGCACCTATGTGACCAGATTAGAGGAGCTGGAACTGCATTATAAGAGGCCAGGACTGGCAGAGGTGAGATTGGCACAGTGTCTGGCCGCTGAGGTTCTCCGGGTTTCCTGTTACATTAGGAAGTCCAGGAACAAATGCTTCTGGTAATAAAAGGATAACAATGTAGGTAGCAGATGTACCGTATATACTCGAGTATAAGCCGTCCCGAATATAAGCCGAGGTACCTAATTTTACCAAAAAAAACTGGGAAAAAGTATTGACCCGAATATAAGCCGAGGGTGGGAAATGAGGCAGCTACTGGTAGAGAGGTAAGTAAGAAGACGCGCTGGCGCTGACTCGAGTATAAGCCAAGGGGGGCACTTTTCAGCCAAAAACATGGGCTGAAAATCTCGGCTTATACTCGAGTATATACGGTAATAATACGATGCGGAGTATAAAATTCTCCATTTGCTGATTTTACAGCTCTTTAAACTTGTGAATGTGTATAGCCTGTCAATGCCTTACAGCGGGGGTGGGCAAACGTCTGGGACCCTCTAGCTGTGGTGACACTACAAATCCCAGAATGCCTCTGGGAGTCATACCTGCAACGGTCAGTCCTGCAATGCCTCATGGGACTTGTAGTTACACAACAGCCAGAGGGCCAAAATGAGCAAGGTGCAAGAGACCACTGCTTCCACCAAGACTAAGGGTCCTTCTCTGCCGCATGCTGAAAGTGGATGTGGTTCTCTGCTTGAGCTGTAGTGGCTTTAGAATGACAAACTATAAAGCGCAAGGACCATTTCTCTGCGTGGAAGCAGTGGTCTCTCCTCATAGATCCATCATGCACCCTGCGTACTCCAAACCAATGTTCCACTGCAAGAGTCCCCCTTTAATGTTCCGGCCGTTTCTCATTTCATACAACAGGCGGAGGAGGTGCGGGAGCTGGTGGACTCGGAGTTGGGATTTCAGCAGACGCATCTGATTTTTCCAAGCAAAACCAAAACCTTCCTGTTTGTGTCCAATGACAAGAAGATTGTGGGGTGTCTGATCGCAGAGCCAATCAAACAGGTGGGTGTGGTCTATGGGGTATGAAGCGCATTTTCCTAACCACGCCCCCGACTAGAATTTATAGCACGTTGGATGAACCGGCTTGCCTGGCCGGCTGGTGAGTCTAGGCCAAATGGAAAGCAGGAAAAGGGGTCAGGAAAGCCCCCCACCCCCCCCCATGATCCCTGCTTGCAGCGTATAACCCTCTGGCTGCCGCAGTGTAGAAAATCTATTACAACTCTGGATGCACATATACCAGCTTTTCGGTATCGAGTACCAAGATTTTTTTAAATGATTGTTATTGGTACTCGCCAATACCAAATACTGTCCCCGGAAGTCCCATTTAGGAAGCCAGGCAGCTTCCTGATCAGCCATGGAGTCGGCTTTATAGCCAATTGAGGGGGGGCAGCTTCCTGACTAAGTGACGCGGGAACATGGAGCCGGCTTCCCGACCGATCAGGAAGCCGGGCGGCGTGTAACAACTCCCCGCCCAGCATCATTTTTTCCGGCACTCGCCGATACCGAATTCTGATACCGGAAGTCCCATTAGGAAGCCAGGCGGCGTGTAATCGCCATCTGGCTTCCTGGTTAGCAGGGAAGCCGTCACCAGGTTTTGGCCAATCGGGAAGCTGGGCGCCATGTAATGACGAGTTTCCCAGCTTCCTGATTAGTTGAGTAGCTGGCCACTCAGGAAGCCGGCCAGCGCATCTTTACACGGCGCCCGGCTTCCTGATTGGCCAGAAAGCCGGCTCCATGCTCCCTCGTCAACAGGTGACGAGGGAGCATGAAGCCGGCTTTCTGGCAAATCAGAATGCCAGGGGGCGGGCAATGAGGAACCAATCGGGAAGCTGGGCAGAGTGTAATGACTCGCCGCCCGGCTTCCTAATACCAGAAGTTCTGGCATCGGGAGCATTTGGGCGAGTACAAATACTCGAATCGGTACGGATACTAGTATCGGTGCATTCCTAATTACAGCTAAATGTTACTTTTAGGGTCCATTGATACTGGTGCAATGCATTCATTGCATGGTTCTGTGCAGATAATGCAGCAAACTGTGCAATGCACCTGCCGTGTGTTAAAAGGACTATGGGGTCAGTGTTTTCCCCCATAGTTCTCCTCAGGGTCATTGGAGGGCACATACTAGCGTCCTACCGTGAACCAAAGCTCAGTATAGGGCTGCAACAACTAATCGACATAATCGATTATTGAAAAAGTTGTCAACTTTTTCAATAATCGATTAATCGGCTTCCGATCAGTTGGCCCTGTTCACAGCTCCACACGCTGTGCGCCGCACCTCCTCCCCACCTCACGCTCGCCGCAGTATACTGAGACGCCGCAGCCGAAGCGGATCCCGACATTACTACCGAGATCCACCCAGCTGCGTAAGTGACAGCTGCCTCTGCTTATCTAGAGCCAGCTGTACCCGCCCCCGCCCCCCGTCCGTTCCTCCAGTCAGCACTCTCTGCAGGAAGATCGAGAAGTGAGCGAGCCACGGTATGTGTTTCCTCACTTCCCGATCTATGGAGCCGAGTGATAGTCACTCACCTCAGTTCTCCTTTAATGGTGCATGAGGTGTGTTGCCATTCATTTAAATGGCACCCAAATGCACCTCCTGCCCGCAGTGTGCTTAATCGCGCTGCGTTGCACACACCGTGATGCTGTGCATTGTGTTACAATTTAAAAAAACAAAAGTGCATGCCGGGTTGCTCATAAAATGTTTTGCCTCCCAAGTGAAGCAGTTGGATAATTTGTGAGTGTTTCCATCCTGTAATTCAGAGTGGTCACTGCTCACTTCCATGTTTTGTTTGCAGGGATTTAGAGTCCTTCCTGAGCCCCTCCCAGAGGCGGAGTCTCTCAATCGGGATGCTTGGCGAGAGCGGCACAGAGCTTGGCGATGCTCTTCTGACTCGGAACCGGCCCTCTGCGGCATCAGCAGGATCTGGGTCTTCGCGCTGATGCGCAGGAAAGCCATCGCCAGCCGCCTGGTGGATGCGATGAGGTGAGGAGGTCTAATGTATCACAGCAGAGATGTATGGAGGGGACATGGTACATGTATGACTGTCATATGTACTGATGTCATGTAACGCCATGAAAGAAAGTCCTTCTCTTCCAGTAACCAGAGAGAGGAGGCGGGGAATATCTACATTCACTTTTAGGTCAATATTACAATTGTTCAATAGCAACGATTACTGAAGGAACGTTCTAATGCCGGGGTCTCCAACCTCCGGCCCTCCAGCTGTTGGTGGAACTACAAATCCCATGAGGCATTGCAAGATTCTCAGACATGACTACCGAAGAGAGATGCATCATGGGATTTGTAGTTTCACCACAGCTGGAGGGCCGGAGGTTTGAGACCCCTCCTCTAATGCTTCAGAGCAGTTTCGTGTTCCTGGTCATAGGGAGGGATCTAAGAATGAATGCGCACACAAATGCAGGTTTCTGAAGTGTTTACATTTGTGTGCGACTCTTCTCTTTCGGCTGTAAAAGGTCCCCTGCAGTCTGGCATTTGCTGCCTGACCAAGCCCTGCATCCACATGGGACACATTGGGTGAGGTCAGGCAGCTGCTGCCACCAAATGTTAGGTGACTTAGAGGATCAGTGCACTTTAAGAGGCCATTTTTGCACCTTTACTCTGACCTAACCTACCGCCTTCCTCTACACATGCATGCTTGCCTCAATCTCACAGCCGTGGCCTCCAGTTATTTTTTACGTCTTGGCCGGGCCTGTTTATTACAGCCACATAGACTTCTAGGGTGCTGTGTCCTGAGGCTGGAGAAGAAAGGAGGGCAGTCCCATAGAAGTCTATAGGGCTGTAATGTGCAATTACGGCCAGGATACAAACAAGCCCCGGAGGCCACAGCTATCGGATCGAGGTAAGTGTGTATCAGTGGAGGGGGAGGGGAGCTCCACCTGATGCAGCTTCCTATAGTGGGGTGGTGACAATTCGGCACTCCTGAATTTAGAACAGAGCTGCCACCCTCATGTAGGCTGTGCTTGCACTACAGTGACATGAGGGGAGGATGTTGCTGGGGGCGTGACCATCGGGGAGGATGTTGCTGGGGGCGTGACCATCGGGGAGGATGTTGCTGGGGGCGTGACCATCGGCATTCATTGTTGGTGCCAGTAGCTTGTCAATCAGCACCTGGCCACGCCTAGTCCCACCCACTGCTTATCTGAAATGACATTTTGCTGTGAGCTGCAGTGTCTGGGAGGGGGGCGTGTGAGAGACGTGGAGGGTTTGGCTCAGTAAGGGAAGGTAAAGGTTTCTATGAGACTTGTGCGTCACTTAAATTACAAAGAACTTTATTTCACTTTAAGACTAAATATTCAAATTGTTAAAAATCCTTCCAAAGAGAATTCCGTACACTTTCCGCTCCTCATGAATACTGTGCCCACGGCCTGTGATTACGACCCATTTATAAAATGCATGCCACAGTGTGGAGCAGATGGAGCCCCCATGTGTTCCCTGCTTGTTGCGGCAGAGAAAGCTCCATGATTGGAGGAGAAGCTGGTCATGTGACTTTGACATGTGCGGTGCTGCTTTTTAAATGAGCCCCCTTAGAGTTGAGCAGACCTCGGACATGTATAGAGGTGAGAGATTCTGACATTTACAGCATATTTCTTCCGGGTTCATTAAAGGAGAACTACGAGGCGAGTGATTTCCACTCCTAGTCATAGTCGGAGCCGCCCTGTGACAAAGAAGCTGTCACAGGTCGGCTGGATTGATCGGGGAGTGAGCAGAAACATGCCGCCGATCCGCTCACTTCCCGATCAACGTCACGGTCAGTCATCTCTCCCGGCAGAGATTCCCCTCCCTCTCCTCTCAGATCCTCCAGCGCTGACTGGCGGAACGGACGGGGGAGGGGGCGGGCACAGCTGCTCCGCCTCTAGATAGGCAGAGCCAGCTGTCACTCACGCAGCTGGGTGGATCCAGGCCGTATTGTCGGGATCCGTTCCGGCTGTGGCGGTCTCAGTATATGGCGGGCAATCTCCTGCTATATACTGAGCGTTGGGGTCACGGGAGGAGGTTGTTATGTCCTCCCGTCACCCTAAAGAGAACTATGAGGAAAAATACTGACCATAAGTTCTCTTTTTTTGCATTTTCAGGACGGCAGTGTCAGACTCCATAGTTCTCCCATGACGGGGTCACTGCCGGCAACTCCATCTGACTAACCAGATCCGTTTCCATTCCAGGAGCTCCTTCATCTACGGGTCTCACCTGACCACAGACGAGATCGCCTTCTCCGACCCAACGCCGGACGGCAAGCTGTTCGCCAGCACCTACTGCAAAGTCCCCGACTTCCTGGTGTACAACTTCCTGAGTTAGAAAGCGTTGGCGTTTGTATATTTTCTGATCGGAGAGTTTTATGTTGTTGCAGAATGACGCTGTTGCACTTTTGCCTGTTTTTTAGAGTTTTTATTTTGCTGTTTTTATGGTGCCCGGTTTACAATAAATGTTCTTGTACATACAATGGGTGCGTGCACTGCTGGAGGCGACGGTACAGCCAGAGGGGGGAGTTAGTATTAAAGGAGAACTATGGGGGTCAGAGCTTTTCCCCATAATTCTCCTTAGGGTAACGGGAGGACACAAACTAGCGTTCCTCCCGTCACCCTAGGCTCAGTATATAACCCTCCCCCCATCATAGTTCTCCTTTAAACCAGGGGTAGCCAAACCCCGGCCCTCCAGCTGTTGGTGGAACTATAAATCCCATGAGACATTGCAAGATTCTCACAGCCTCAGACATGACTCCCAGAGAGGGAGAGATGCCTCATGGGATTTGTAGTTTCAGCACAGCTGGAGGGCCGGAGTTTGGCTTCCCCCTTGCGGGGGCTTTACAGCTGTTGTGGAACTACAAGTCCCATGCCTCGGCCTTGCGCCTCTGGTGGCATTTTGGGTAAAGCTGGAAACAAGCCCTCCCGAGGAATCCATTCCAGTTAGGAGAATGACATGTTGCTAGCGGGTATGCGCACTTTAAATTGCCCTCGTCTTTCGGTAGTACATGTGATGCTCGGGGGAGGGAGACAGTGATGTTGGCTTGACCTTCTCTGACAATTGTATGTGTGGCAGGATGGAGGCGGGCCTCGTTCTGGGGGTGCACACCCAGTCACATGTCCTCAGCAATATAACTTTGCTGTCACTGACCACTCCTCTGGTCACATGGCAATGATTGGGAGCTGGTAGGATGGGCCCTCCTGGTCATGTGATCGCAGCCAGTCACCATGATCACATGACTGGAAAGCTACTGGGAACTGCTCGGGCCATTTATATATTCTGAAGGGCCTGCGGGAAGAGTGCGCTCTGATTGGACTTTGTCTTCTGCAGGGGCCGGGCTGCACACCAGAGGCCTACCATAGCTAGGCTCCCGGCAGGGGTACGTCTGGCCAGTGCAATGCCGTCTGCTACCAGAGATATATGTCGTCTATCGTGGGGCGGGCATGCTGAGCAGATGCCATGGTTATAGGATAAGCTTCTTTGATGTGGGACCCCAGCCAAATTGCACTAGTGAACATGCAGTAAGAGCGTCCCTTCCCTACGAGTTCTCCTTTGCAGCTCTGGGGGGGGCGGGGGGTTGGTTGGGTGTAATAGGCACAGATGAACCGAGGGGGAAGAAAGAGTTGCAGATCAGCGTTCGGCCCTAAGTCTGGCTGCTGTTGCACAGATCACTACAAAGGGGTGTGCTCGAGTTTAACAGGCCCGTAAGAGCATGGGTAGGCAACCTCGGCCCTCCAGCTGTTGTGGAACTACAAGTCCCATCAGGCTTTGCTAGACTGAGAGCCACAGGCATGACTCCCAGAGGCAGAAGCATGGTGGGATTTGTAGTTTTGCCACAGCTGGAGGGCGGAGGTTGCCTTCCCCTGTGTTGAAATTTGTTGCTGCTCCAGAATCAAGCTCGCCTCATTGTCATATCACAGCACTCTCGCACACCACTCTCGCACACACCACTCTCGCACACCACACACCACTCTCGCTCACGCGCACGCACACACACACACCACGCTCGCACACACACACACCACGCTCGCACACACACACACCACTCTCGCTCGCACACACACACACACAACTCTCGCGCACACACACACACACTTCCTGTATTGGCACTTGCAGAACAAAATGAGTTACAAGTAAGGCCAATACCCACCCTGCCCTCTCCTCGTGTAACGCATGTCACCACAATGACGGGTGCATCTTAAAGTCACTACCTAGAATTGTTCACTTCATTGTCTTCCTCATCACGTTCAATCCTTCACTCTTCTTCTACGTTGTGTATATATATTTGTGTTGTGTTCACTTTGATTGCGTTTTTCATCATTTCTTGTATTGCATTGTTGTTTTTGTTGTTGAATGACGGTCAGCACACACAGGGGTGTCTGTGAAGGTCTCATTCATCCGGGTCATGTTATATCTGTAAGAATAAATCGCTGGATTTGCTGCATTTTTCCTGAAGACGTTTCGCCGGACTTGCACAAGTCATATCTGAGAAAGCTGGTCGGGTGACCGGCGAAACGTCTTCAAGAAACATACAGCAAGTTTAGTTGCCTTGACTTGTATTTGCTGACACACGGAGGGGTGCACGGCACATTGCCACCTAGACTGACCAAGCACGTCTTATTTCCTCTGCAAAACAATTGTGGGGTCAGGCCGATGTACATCAGGAGTGTCTGTAGTCCGGGTCCCTGCACCCTTTCATTGCTGAAATAACGTTCTTTTGTTGCTTGTAGAATTATGAGGCTCGGCTTCTGGAATATGATACACGGGGGTCACATGTCTGGAACGCGATCACGGGCGCGGTAAATGTTCACAGAATGCAGCCCCTTCGCTTGGGGGAATGACCCTGGAGGTACGATGGGGGCGAGCGGAGCGATGGGCACCATTCTCCCCCCTTATACTGAGCTCAATGGCAGTATCAGTGCGTAGGAGTAGAAGCCTTCCCAAATACCAGTGCTGGAGTCTAATGGATGTGCGGCAGTGAGCCGGAACTATCCGGAAGAACTAAAGGCGCATTATAAATAGAAGAAAGCTTGTACCGCTTCCGTGATGTAATGTAAACCTTTCTTGGAAGGAGCCGGGACTGAGTCTACGTTACTCCTTAACACAGCGGTTCTCAACCTCTCTAGGGCCGGGGGGTTGGGGGGGGGTCACCAAGTTGTGGTGCCCCCCCAACCGTAAAATTTAGGAATGCACCAATACTAGTATCTGTGCGGGCTCTCGGGAGGCTGTGCGGGCTCTCGGGAGGCTGTGCGGGCTCTCGGGAGGCTGTGCGGGCTCTCGGGAGGCTAGTGGGACTCTGTTGGCGTCCAGTGCGGGCTCTCGGGTGGCTAGTGGGACTCTGTTGGCGTCCAGTGCGGGCTCTGTGGTGATCAAGCACTCGCCTCCCCTCTCTCTGATCCTCTGCGGCCACTGCTGCTGCGGCGCCATCTAGGAGAACTGACACTGCTGCGCTAGGAGGGGGCTGAGGAGGCTCTTACCTAGAGCAGCACAAGGCATGTGGGGACCCCCTCAACTGTGGGTCGCGACCCACAGGTTGAGAGTCACTGCCTTAACAGAATGTAAAGCCAAACTCCGGGCCCAATCCCCAGAACAGGTTCACAACGGTCAAACATTCCGGTTCTTCAGACAGTAATGGTCATCGTGCCGGGATCCTCCTATGTCCGGCAAATCTGTTTGTTTACATGTCGGGATTAGTTCAGATCCCACTATACCTCCTGACCACTCTGGATGCAGGGGCTGCGGGTCTCTTGGATCCCAGCGTTCTGGATGCAGGGGCTCTGGGTCTCTTGGATCCCAGCGTTCTGGATGCAGGGGCTCTGGGTCTCTTGGATCCCAGCGTTCTGGATGCAGGGGCTCTGGGTCTCTTGGATCCCAGCGTTCTGGATGCAGGGGCTCTGGGTCTCTTGGATCCCAGCGTTCTGGATGCAGGGGCTCTGGGTCTCTTGGATCCCAGCGTTCTGGATGCAGGGGCTCTGGGTCTCTTGGATCCCAGCGTTCTGGATGCAGGGGCTCTGGGTCTCTTGGATCCCAGCGTTCTGGATGCAGGGGCTCTGGGTCTCTTGGATCCCAGCGTTCTGGATGCAGGGGCTCTGGGTCTCTTGGATCCCAGCGTTCTGGATGCAGGGGCTCTGGGTCTCTTGGATCCCAGCGTTCTGGATGCAGGGGCTCTGGGTCTCTTGGATCCCAGCGTTCTGGATGCAGGGGCTCTGGGTCTCTTGGATCCCAGCGTTCTGGATGCAGGGGCTCTGGGTCTCTTGGATCCCAGCGTTCTGGATGCAGGGGCTCTGGGTCTCTTGGATCCCAGCGTTCTGGATGCAGGGGCTCTGGGTCTCTTGGATCCCAGCGTTCTGGATGCAGGGGCTCTGGGTCTCTTGGATCCCAGCGTTCTGGATGCAGGGGCTCTGGGTCTCTTGGATCCCAGCGTTCTGGATGCAGGGGCTCTGGGTCTCTTGGATCCCAGCGTTCTGGATGCAGGGGCTCCGGGTCTGTTGGATCCCAGCGTTCTGGATGCAGGGGCTCTGGGTCTCTTGGATCCCAGGGTTATGGATGCAGGGGCTCTGGGTCTCTTGGATCCCAGCGTTCTGGATGCAGGGGCACCGGGTCTCTTGGATCCCAGCGTTCTGGATGCAGGGGCTGCGGGTCTCTTGGATCCCAGCGTTCTGGATGCAGGGGCTGCGGGTCTCTTGGATCCCAGCGTTGTGGTCATGTTGCAACCCTCCCACCTTGTTGTATGTATCAGAGACGCAGCGCTGGGATCTGTGAGGTCCGCAGTGCTTACACACAGAGTGGCCAGGGAGTGTAGCGGGAGCTGCACTGATACCAGTACACAGTGATTTGCAGGACGTGGAATAATCCCTGCGCGGTGAGGTTTGGCTTCTGAGGTCCAGGAGTGTTGGGCGGGCGGCTGTGAACATGTTTAGATAATTGTACCCGGAGTTGGGCTTTAGGCTGATGAGGTTTCTGGCTGCTGATGACCCATTTTTCCTGCTGCATGCGCCCTCCTAAGTGGTTCTCCTCGGCCTCTCTGGTCCAGTGATGGTCATTGTTGGGTACAATCACATTCTGGCCGCAGTTCTATCTCATGCATGGAGCACTGCGGGGATAATAAAATGCGGCAGAATGTAATTGGATTTAGTAAAATGCGACTTCTACGAACTAATATTTTAACATTTATTCCGCTTCAAGAAAATCGCATTTTGTTTTTTATGACATTTTAAATGCTGCGAAATAAACCCGTTTTCTGGTCCGTCGCTTTGTTTTTTCTTCCTTCATAGTAAATCATTTTTATTTGTAGTCATAAAAAAAAATATAAAAGGAGCCTGCCCCCCCTCTCTTTACACAAGGAGCCCGTCCGGTGTATAACTTCACGTGACATGTAGAGGTGACGGATCCCGGAGAGGTAAGCATGGGCGGCATCACAACAAATGTGACTAGCGCTGCAAAGCGTAGCCATTGAACCGTCTCTTCCTGGGGGCAAGCAAGTCTTCTGCTGGCTCTTCCTCCTCAGCATCTCACTCCATCAGTGGTAGGCAACCTCGGGCACTCCAGCTGTCGTGGTACTGACTTCCAGATGGACCGAGCGGAAGTCTCCAGTCCCAAAACGTAATCTGCTCTGATACAAAGGGGGTGGGCTCAAGTAAAGAAAAGGGGGAGGAGTGTCAAAGAAAGCTGTCAGGTTAGCGCTAGGCAACAGTGGCACGCCATCTGTTGTGGTACCATGAGGCATTGCAAGTAGGCCGGACAGAGGTGTACTCCCCCCTGTAATAGATGAAGCGGTCTCATCTCTATGTCATTGACACCCCTAATGATCGATGGATCAGGGACTGGAGCTTCGAATAGACGAGTCGGGGGATACGTACAGAATGAAAGACACGGCCGCTACGGGGTCAGCCTGGGTCACATGATCATGGTTTTATTTCCCACTGCAATCTCTTCTCTGCTTTAGGGGTCTCTTATAGTTATATACAGTAATAAATCGGAATGCATGGAGATTGTTTTGGGTTCCCCTCCCCCAGTACCGGTGCCCCGATTATCAGGAAGTTGGGTGGCGGGGTCATGACCCATCACCCAACTTCCTGATTGCCTGTGAAGCCGGTGTCCTAGCGAAAGAAGACCGGCTACACTTGTGGAGGTTGCCTGACCAATCATGAAGCCAGGCGGCACGTCATGACCTACCTCCCGATTGGAAGCTGGCTTTACTTGTTTCTAGGCAGCCTGGCTTCCTGACCAATCAGGAAGCCGGGACACGAGTCATTTCCAGGAAGCAGGAGGTCCCCCCTGCACTTCTTACAGCGCTTCCGGTCCAAGTAGCAATAGTGGCGCTCGCAGTGACGATCACGGATGGCGCCGCGCACAACAGTCAATGAAGGATAGAAGTCGCCAGAACTCCAGCAAATGAAATAATAAAAAAAATGTCCATTTAGTTGGAATAAACGCATAATCCCATCCAATGTTTCGGGACCAGGCCCCTTCATCAGGGCAAAGATGTGACCACATTCGCTCACTTCTCCATCAGGTCCCTGCAGAGAGCCGTGACTATCACTCACGGCTCCCTGCAGGCATTCCCCGCTCCTCCAGCGCTGACTGGCGGAACGGACGGGGGAGGGTACAGCTGGCTCTGCCTCTAGATAGGCAGAGTCAGCTGTCACTCACACAGCTGGGCGGATCTCAACCGTAATGTCGGGATCCGCTGCGGCGGTCTCAGTATACCGCGAGCTGTAGCTCCCTATATACTGAGCTTTGGGTGACGGGAGGACGCTAGTTTGTGTCCTCCCGCTACCCTAAGGAGAACTATGGGGAAAAGCCCTGACCTCATAGTTCTCCTTTAGTATCTCTCCTTTTCTTGCTATCCATTGCAATTAAATTCCCTTCACCAATAACCCCCAAACGTGTTTTGACATTCGTCGTCTTCGTGCGTTATGGAGGGGAATTTATTAAAACTGGTTGCCATGGGCAACTGCTCCAAACAGCTTCTCACTTTCAAAACCTAACTGAACAAAGTGAAGAGAGACACTAATTGGTTGCTATGGACAACTGCTCCAGGTTTTGATACAACTCTAAAAAGGGAGGGGCCAGTGATACATGAGGAGGGAGCTGTGGGGTATGAATTGTATGAGAAAGTGATGGTTCAGTGGTTAGGTTGCGGTGGGATCGGCTTCCTTGAAGAAATTAGTCTTTAGGGAAAACCTAAAGGCAGTCAGAGTGGGAGACAGACGGACAGGTTGGGGTAAAGAGTTCCATAGGATGGCAGACTAGAGTAGTCCTGGAGGCGAGTATGGGAGGAGTTGACAAGGGAGCTAGAGTGCAGGAGCGGAGTGGACGGTTAGGGTGACATTTTGAGGCAAGGTTGGAGATATAGCCGGGGGCGGAGTTGTGGATGGCTTTGTAAGTCGTTAATATTTTGAATTTTATCCTTTGGGCGAGTGGAGGGATTGGCAGAGAGGGGTAAGGATGGAAGTTGTGGTTGGCTTTGTAAGTCATTGGAAATATTTTGAATGTTATCCTTTGGGCGATGGGAAGCCAGTGCAGGGATCGGCAGAGGGGGGCGGGGGATGGAAGCCAGTGCAGGGATCGGCAGAGGGGGGTGGCGGACACTGACCGGTTGGTTAGGTGAATGAGTCTGGCGGCTGCATTCATGATAGACATAAGGGGGAGGAGCCTGTGTAGCGGAAGGCCAATGAGGAGGGAGTTACTTTGGGGCTGATGTTTGAGTGTGGAAGGCGGGACGAAGAGATCTGGTTACTTTCTATAGCGTTAGGAAGCGAGTGTCAAGTAAACACAATCTTCAAAAAAACAAACATTTTTTTGTAAGAACTTTATTGAAACAATAAATAACCGTCCAAGCTCGCGTGAGGGCGGACATATGAAAAAGTAAAGAGTGTCAAACATGCGTTACCCGCAATCCTACGGCCAGATAGAGCTCCTGGCCACCCGGTCTCCCCTTCAGGATCGGGCCCGATCCCTATATGTCGCTTACAGGAAGAAACATGAACAAGTACTAATCTGATTTATTCTACAAAACATGACAACAGGAAAGAGCCGACACACAGTGATGAGAAGTATGGATGACGGTAACGTTACAGGGCCAAGGAGCCTCTAAAGCCAACCTGAAATGATCCAAAAAATCTCGAGCCCCGCCCCCCTAATTTTTCGGGTTAGAGAAAACTCCCTCCAGCCGCTCTGCTGATACCTATAACAGGTGAGGGGGACGGGTTCTATGTGATACAAAGTGGCTTCCTCCCGCTCAGCCTTCGCTTCATGGAGAACTAAACCCCCAACCATGGCTCAAACCCGGAACCATCTGGAAGGTGGCAGCCCACTTAAGCCGATGGGTACTGGAGGGCTCTGGGTGGAAGTGTTGTGTAGGGAGCATCCCACTTAAGCCGATGGGTACTGGAGGGCTCTGGGTGGAAGTGTTGTGTAGGGAGCATCCCACTTAAGCCGATGGGTACTGGAGGGCTCTGGGTGGAAGTGTTGTGTAGGGAGCATCCCACTTAAGCCGATGGGTACTGGAGGGCTCTGGGTGGAAGTGTTGCGTAGGGAGCAGCCTACTTATGCTGATAAGTACTGGAGGGCTCTGGGCGGAAGTGTTGTGTAGGGAGCAGCCCACTTATGCCAATGGGTACTGGAGGGCTCTGGGTGGAAGTGTTGTGTAGGGAGCATCCCACTTACGCCGATGGGTACTTGAGGGCTCTGGGTGGAAGTGTTGTGTAGGGATCAGCAAAGAGGGTGGAAGAGATAAGTTCTCTGTAATACAGGTCCACTTTAAAGGCTCGTACAACTCCCCAGAGCGGTCACATCTCTGCTCCTGAATAGAGTTCACAATCTCTCCAAAGTAGAATTTTACCGCAAAACTCCGCCTCCTCCCCCTCGATAAAACAAATAAAACGCTTGCGTCCGGAACCTTTCATCAGAACGTAAGATTATTGGACGCCTTCCGCTTCCAGAGCTGCCACAATCTGAGCCGCGGAGGGCCGTTCCTCGGGGGTCTCGCTGGTGCACATGCAGAACAATTCTATCACTCTCTGGTGGGACTCATCCAGCTCGTCCTTGTTCAGTGCCGGCCGCGTCCCCAAAGCCTCGTAATAAGCTTCCTCGTCGAAGTCATCGTCATCAAAGGAATCCTCTGTGCGGACAACGGAGAGGGGCAGTTACTGGTCTCAGATCCCGCAACAGCTTTCGTGACTCAAGTCACACTGCTGTTTGGGGTAAGTTTTTTTGCCCCCCCC